GGGTACAACCCAATTAGGGTTTCCTACTTGTACCCATCCTGCTGCTAGTTCATTCATTCCTGTTCGTTATTCTGACATGGTTTCAGAGCATATCCTTCAGCGCTTCCGCTTCACGTACTCCTCGCCACAGTCCACTCCTTTGCCTACCGGTCACTCGCTCTCAGCTCTGCCTTCGGATGAGTCCGTAGAGCCGAGTGGCCCATATCCAGAGCTTGTGGGCTGCCTCATGTACCTGATGACCTGCACTCGACATGACCTTGCTTACCCTCTTAGCATCCTGGCACGCTATGTTGATTGCTCCCGGGAGACACCGACCAGAGCACTGGGAGGCCGCTAAGAGGGTGTTGCGCTACTTGTGCAGTACGTCGGGCATGGGGCTCGTGCTTCAAGAACGGGCTCGAGTTGTCCTCACTGGTCACGCAGACGCTTCTTGGGTTGACGACTTGGCTACGCAGCGGTCGTCACAGGGTTACACCTTCAGCCTTGGCTCCGGTTCAGTTTGTTTTGTGACGGTCTACCCGCTCGTCTTCTGTTCTCAGCTCTAGTTGTGAGGCTGAGATCTACGCAGGGGCCATGGCTGCATAGGAGTTACGCTGGCTCACCTACCTACTGACCGACTTGGGAGAGCGGCCTCGTTCTCCTCCAGTTATGTACGTCAACAACAAGGCCACGATTGCCTTGTGTCAGGAGCACAGACTAGAGCACAGAACGAAGCACATCGCTCTGCGCTACTTCCTTGCTCGAGAGTTGCAGCAGCGTGGTCAGCTTCGTCTTGTGTACGTGGCCTCTCAGGCCAACACTGCTGATATCTTCACCAAGGCACTTCAGCCTTGTGATCATCAGCGTTTCTGTACTCTTCTAGGCCTTGTGCCTACTTGGCCTCACTTGCTCACTTCTTGACTTTGCTTGTACTGTGATCTATATACATATACCTGCATGCTTACACTTGCTAGGTTGTGATCACTGTATCTCGTGCTTGTTCTCCTTTATATAAAACACTGAATGTGAACTGGCCTTGTGACAATTCGCTTGTGCTCAGAATGCGTGGTGACTTCGTGATCCACCCTGAGCTTGCTTTGCCTTTCTTGACTGGTCTTGTGACCTCTTGTTCTCTGATGAGGACGCCGCCGTCGGATCGAGCCCATCCCTCCCGGCCGCCTCTGCCGTTCGACTGGAACTGCCTTCTTGTCGCCGCGTGATGCGGGCGCTGGCTGCGCGGAGTGTTTGGTGTAGGTATGGGTGGGGATATAAATGCGGAGGGGGGATGTCCCGTCAAGAGGGGAAGTTGCGGAAGGGCACGGGGGGATGGTGCGGCACATCAGTTCGGTAGGCATTATGGCCATTTTCGCCATTACGGGCATTTTTAAAAATGGCGCTTGGACATTTCCAGAAACAACTTCAAAACTGGAGTGTAGCTGCAGTGCACCTTCGGAAAAATGCTATGAGTGTTCGTTTGGCATTAATTGGGTGTAGATTGATGGCATCAATCGAGATTCCGGGTTTCGCAGAAGGTGTTGGAAAGTTGCCTTGATGGATCGCGTCCTCATGTGATTGGCTGGCATATTTGACCAGTCACTTTTAATTGCCCCGAATCACTGATACCCCGCATGGTGCGGGGCCTCGAGGCCGCATGGTGCGGCGGATGAGAAAATGGGCATTTTGCCAGAGAAACTGGGTTCGTGGAAGATTCGGGCAATTGAAAACGCCTGCAAAAAAAAGGGTGTTCGCGAGGCATTCCATTATTGTCTGGCTCGGCGATGATCCGCTTATATGGAGCCAAGATAACCCTTCACGCTCTTATCAATGAAGGTTCCAGGGTGATCGGTTTACTGTAGCCCATCCGCCGAGGCCCTTTTTTTAATGCCTACCGAACTGGGCCCAGAAGTCCGTTTCCGTGAACGATCTCCCAGAGACAAAAAAATTCTTACCCCGTTTCGGGGTGTAACGAACAGCCCACTTAGTAACAAGAGAACGTTCACAACGACTCCAACCAACACTGAGCGATCCATGGAGATCGAACTTGGTGATATGGGGGACCTCGTAACAGAAGTACACTCTCGACAGGTTGCCACCCACTTCGCCCAAGTTTGTTACGATGTCCCCATATCCCCTGAAGTTGTTCGGGTTCGGAGGTTGGCATTAGGAGGGGTCGCGCTGGAAGCACATGCGCTGTGTTTCACGCATTTCTGGCCCACAGATTCAGCTCACCTGTGGTGATTGGCAAGAAATAACTCCACTGAGGGGGGAGTGGCGCCGCGGGGGTGCGTGTCAAGAGAGCGGGAGATAGGGGGAAAGGGGGGAGTAGTGATTCAAAATCGGGTACTGTTAGGGGATATTTGCACTCCCCATTCCCACACACCTCTCTCCCCCAAAACAGCTGTTTGCGCAGGCCATTCACGCAGGCTCGCAAAACATTGACTTGACGGGTTCCTGACATATGTGGCTGAAAAGGGCCCAGGTCAAGTGGCTCGGTCCAAGCCAAAGTCAAGAACAAAAGAAATATCCAGAGAGGTAACAACAGCTCCGCTAATACGCTAACACTGTAAAACCAATCAGTTAGCGGCTGTTAACAATACTCCTACACATCTAAACAGGAATGCCAGCAATAAGGGGCTTTCTTATTATTCTTGTCATGCTTTGATGTCACAAAATGCTCACTTTGTGATCACAACGATTGTCTTTCCATTCATGGTAATAAGGTGGTTACAAGAAGTCAAACACAACCTTCAGTAAATTTGATGTCCTCAAGAACCCTCCAGTTCACACAAATCGTGCGATGTGCATGATCCTTGAATTGGGCAGAATGATATTGGCGTGACAATTTACCGCGTTAGCAAAGCCATGCAATTACAAAACATGGAATTCGAGGAGCACCATATGTTATTCTAAAATTCGAATAGTCTCACCGACAGCTGTCAAATTGCTCCTACTCACTGTAGGATCACCATATGCTGTCCCAGATGGTAGCCTTTTTTCCACACCATTGGCACAATCCTATAAGCACCATTGCATGGCGTCAATAATTCCTTTCCCATAGAGTTTGCAGCTATGATCAGCAAGCAGGTTGTTGCTCAGAATGATGCGTGAAAACCGTGACTTGGGATCAAATCCCCGCACCACGACATGCGAGACCGGCAACGACAATCCCAACACCGATTCACCACCAACATTCCCCGCATCCCTCCCGCCCTGCTGGCAAAAAGAGCTTTCCTCCACAAACAGCTGCTCTTCCCCACTCGCATTGGCCCTTCCACTCCCTCCTCCTCCATTCCCTCCTCCGCTCCATACCAGGCCTACAGAAGGTATTAAGGTCAAACCGCCGTGTGCCGCCAACCAGCCTGCATTCCCTCCTTGTCTTGCCATGCCTATTTCACCCACCTTCTGCTGCTGCTGCTGCTGTGTGCGAGGAGGCGGCAGGTTGAACTGCTCCTGCAGGGCGAAGGGTGGTTTGCGCAGAATGTGGAAGAGCTGTCCCGGTGCCACCAGGCGCACCGCCGCGGCTGCAGAGGCCGTGGAGGCTTCGGCTTCGTCCCCCCTGCTAGCAGAGGGTGGTGATGATGATGATGGCGATGTTGCTGCTGGTCCTTCCATTGGTGGTGATGATTTAGATGCCAAGCAGCAGGAGTGTGATCTCCCATGATGGCGATGTTGCTGCTGCCTCACCGTCGCTGTGAGGCAGTCCGCACATGGGGATGGGAGGGTAGAGTGGGAGAGAAGGTTGGAGAGAGAGAAAGAAAGAAATCCAACAGGCAGGGCCTCTATCTCTGTGCCACATCCTCTGATGTCCTTCATTCCATCAATCAAACAATCCAACCATCCGTCCATCCATCCATCCATCCGTCCGTCCGTCCGTCCGTCCGTCCATCCGTCCGTCCGTCCGTCCATCCATCCTCGCACCCACCAACCCACCCACGCACCTTGCGTCTCCACTGCAACAGACACAGAGCCAATAACCCGGCCAGCAAACTCCGCCCACCCCGCACCACCTGCCCCCGCCCCTCCCCCTCGGCCCGCTCCCACAGAAGCAGAGAGAGTAGAGACAGAGCGAAAAGTTGAAGCAGCACGGGAGAGCGTGGGGAGCAGCTGGCCCTGCGAGATGCCGAGCAACGTCTCGAGGACAGTCTGTGTGGATGAGGCGAGTGCCGCCAGACGCGCTACTACTGGGTTATCCCGCGCCACTGTCGCCCTGTTGGGGGGAGGGGTCGTGTGAGAGAGAGAGGAAGGGCACGCCGCGGGACGAGGGGAGACGTGGGAAGGGGGTAGGGGTGGTTGGAGAGAAGGTGGGTGGAGAAGGAAAGGGAGAGAGTGAAGGTAAGAGGAGGGATGCACGGGTGGGAAAGAAGGTGTGGGTTGAGAAAAAAGGGAGGAGAGGAGTTGTGCAGTGGAGTTAAGTGGAGGTGTGTGAGAAGCGTAGTGCGGAAATTAGAGGAGTGTGTGATGCATAGAGGATTTCAGTGTGTAACGTAGTGTGAGAGAGAGAGAGGGAGAGAGAGGGAGAGAGAGCAAGAGAGGAGGGAGGAGCACCAGTCAGTGGAGAGGATTTCAGTGAGGAGGTCCGCGAGAGCTGCAGTTGACATGCGTGGCACAATGTCATCCTGGTGTAAGTAACAGGTGGGTTGGGTGGTGGTAAGGCGGGTAGGGTGGAGTGGGAGGGGGTGCGGCAGGGTAGGGAAGGCAAAACGTTTGGGGATGTCGCACAACTGGAAGGGGGGGTCGAAAAAGGGAGGAGAGGAGAGGGGTGTTGAGGGAGGGCATAGAGCCTGCCTGGGGGGGCACCTAGGTGATTGATGGCAGGAAAGTATGAGAGAATAAGTTCAGGAAGTACTATGATATGATATAACGTTGTGACCATATGATTTGCGAAGAGAAGAAAGCTGTCGGCACCACAGGGGCATGCTGTGTGTGAGCTGTTAGGCAGGGCAGTTGAAGCATGGCGAGCAGCCAGCCTACGGGAGAGCCGCCTAGCACTGCTACGTAGCAGCACGTTGGCTGGCTGCTCGCTATGTAGCACCACTGTGCGCATAAAGTAAGCAGTCTCAGCAAGGTCCTGAGACGCAATGCAGAGGCACGCAGAGATGCATGCACAATGCAGCATGCACAATGCAGCATGCACAATGCAGCATGCAGTGCTCTGTCTGTACCATGCATGCACAATGCAGCATCCCGCCGCCCCATCAGCATCCCACTGCCCCTCATCTGCAGAACCACTGAGCGGATGAAGAAAGCAGTCTCAGCAAGGTCCTGGGACACTATGCAGGGGCATGCGAAGGCCCAGCAGTAGGGGATGAGCGCAGCTGGGGGGAGGTGGTGCGGGGAGAGGGAGAGGGCGGGCAGGGAGGGCGGGTGGCGCAGCAGCATGGCGAGCAGCGCTGCTGTGCCCGCGCCCAGGGAGTGCCCCACCGTCACCAGCGAATAGTCCTGCGGGATGGGCGGAGAGATGGCGGGATTGAGGGCGGTTGAGAGAGAAGGGGGAAGGTAGGTAGGGTGAAAATGAGTGAGTGGGAGGGGGTTGCGGAGGTGATACATTGAACAAAAATTGAAGAAGGAAAAAGAGATATCTTTGAGGAGGCGAAGGAGAGGTGTGGGTTTGTTAGACCAAGGGATAAGCATGGCAGGGTGGCAACGCATGGCAGGGTGGCAACGCATGGCAGGGCATAGATTTGACGGGAGGGATCAAACGGCACAAATTGCAAGGCATGGACTAAGAGAGCGCCACAACAGAAGCAGCACGGCAGAGGGCGTGCGTGGGGAGGAGACGGGGTGCTGGTGAGCTGCAACTGACCGGATTCTGTGAGAGCAGGTGTGCGATGAGCTGCCCCTGTGACTGCGCCACCCACTTGGCTGCCTCCAACATGCCTGCATGCGCGTGCCTTCATGCAGAGGGAGGAAGGGAGGAGGGGAGAGAGGGAGGATAGTGGGTGGGAACTGGGTGGAGGGGAGACGGGGACGAGTGCTGAGGAAGAGTACCACCCAGCACACCCACACACCTCCACACCCCCACACCTACACACCCACACACACACTACCCCAAACCACACACGGCATGCACACACGCACCCGTCAGCGAAAGCAGCAGCGTGTGAGCAGAGGTCAGTGAGAACGTCGGCAGGGTGCGAGGTGCCGCGCACGGCCACCACCACGCACCGCCTCTCGTCGCTCACCGCCAAAAAGTGCGCTGGGCGGTTCACTGCGGACGTGCCCACATGCCTGTGAATGGCGCCCTGAGGGATCTGGCGAGGGTGGGGAGTGGAAGATGGGGAGCGCGGAGCGAAGCTTGGAATGGGATAAATGGGGGTCGGTGCACTGCGGACGTGCCCACATGCCTGTGGATAGCACCCTGGGGGATCTGGCGAGGGGTGTGGGGTGTGGGGTGTGGGGTGCAGGGTGCAGGTTGGGGGGTGCGGGGTGAGGGAAAGAAGATTAGGGTTGGGGAGGGCAGGATGCCTGGAGAAAAGTTGACCGTGTGACACGGAGGCAGACGCAGATTGCAATGGTAACGAACGGGAGGTCCCATAGGTGCTCAGTCATCATGGGGAAGAGAGCAGCTGCAAAGCGTGACATGAAGGCAGAAGAATATTGCTATGGTGACAATGAGACTTGCAAAGAGTTTTCCGCGCTCGCGGGACCTTGAAATGGTTGCTCAATGATCTCTTTTTCCATGCGAGCAAGGTTTGATTGACCAGCAGCCATGCAGCCATGTCAGCAGATATGGATGTGACATGTGTGCGCTGCTGTTCATGCTGCTGCATGTGGGATGGGAAATTCTGAAGAGTATGAACACAGCCAGCACATGCTTTCCCGAGTTCATGCTCGTATCTCATATTCCCATGAATGAATTGAAGCACTCACCCTGAGATGTGTCGCGAGGGCGGCAGCGTCTGTCTCATATGCTGACATGGCCCACCGCAGCCAATGAAGCATCTCTTCCAGGTCATTCCTGGTGACGAAAGCACGGCGTGGAGGAAGAAATAAGGGATGACATGATCAGAGCAACACCAACACCTTGGATCAGAGCAGAGAGCATGGCATGACAGACAGCTACAAAGCGGCAATCAAAGAGCATGCTCCTTTCCTCATTACCTCGCTCCTTCGCTCTGTCTCTCCTTCTCCTCACTCATATCATTCCATCATCCCAATCCTCACCACCATCACCACCCGCACTCCCACCTCCATCCCCAATTCCGACACCCTCCCCATCCCCATCCCCCGCCCCCTCCCCGTCCCGCCGACCGCCATCGCCACCCGCACCTGTTGCGGACGACCTCGCCGGGGATGGCTTCGACGTCTTTCCCGGCGGCGTGCTTCAGGCTCAGCCGGTACAGCCCCAGCGTCAGGTCCTCCAGTGACCACTGCTTCATGCCATCCGCCGACTGCCGCAGACTCTCCGCCACGGCCAGCAAGCTTGGAGTCGAAGCCATCCCGCCGTCTCCGCCGCAATCGGGCCAGCTCCTTGCCTGCTGCGGGACGCTGGCAGCGAGGCTTGCCACGAGTTGTGGGCGCAGGAGACTGGCAAAACGAGGGAATAGAAGAGAGCTGGGAGAGAGGACGGAGTCCAGCGACGTCGACGAGGGAGTATGAAGAAAACAGGAAGATCCAAGGATAAGATGATGCAAGTAGGAAGAACGACTTGGGCGGAAACCCGCATCGCCACGCTAATTTAGCATTGCAGCACCACATAGCGACTCGATGCATGCTGGAATCTAGAGTACGAGGGGGATTGGAGAATGCGACGCGGATAGGAGGGTGTGCTCCTGAGCTCCTATTCGGAGCGAGGCAACGGAAATTCGCATGCAGATTGAGGGCGTGGTTCGTGGGATTGAGAGTGTGGTGCGTGAAATTCCCTACCCACATAGCGTCTCGATGCTTGCTGGAATCTAGAGTTTGAGGGGGATCGGAGAATGCGACGCGGATAGGAGGGTGTGCTCCTGAGCTAAGCAGTAGCGCTTATTCAGATCAGAAATTCGCATGGAGATTGAGGGCGTGGTTTGTGGGATTGAGGGCGTGGTGCGTGAAAGTGCATAGCGCGTGGGATTGTCGGACACTCATCAGGATTGGCGCTGGAGAACCGTTAAAAAAAAGCCCGAGTTCCACATGGCATTTTTCAAATTCAAGATTCTTGAATATGAACTCGCCAAAAACCAGGTTACCACCCAAAGTGCAGCTTTCCTTCACAACTCTGACGCATGATTGGCCAGCGACAAAAAAATGTATTCCGCGTGAAGTGCCACCGGGAGTTGGTCCACTGTTCACCCTCAGTAAACTTGAAAACCAAGTTGTACTTACGTGCAGCCATATTGAGTCTAGCACACGTAGTGCGCTTTGTTTTTCTAGACCACAAGAGCGCGTAATATCGCTTTCAGACAATGGCGGCGTGATGTCTAGAACCTTGCAGCAGTCTGACGGTTTCCCCCCCCAACGAAAATAATATTAGCCAGCAACAAGAAAAACGTCACCCGTCACGCCCAAATCTACAGGGTCGATGGAGCTCGCATGTTACGTTCGAAGCGCACGGATCAAGCGCACGGAACGGGCCCTAGCCTCACATGTACGTGACACGCACCCGTCGCACCCTCTTACGCCCATCAAACTACCTCCCGCCGTCGCCCTACTGCCCGTCGCTCTCCCTAGCGCTCGTCGCACTCACTTCCGCCGTCGCCCTCCCTTCCGCCGCCACCTTCCCTTCCGCCCGTCGCACTCACTTCCGCCGTCGCCATGCCTTCCGCCCGTCACCCTCCCTTCCGCCGTCGCCATCCCTTCCGCCCGTCACCTTCCCTTCCGCCCGTCGCACGTACTTCCGCCGTCGCCCTCCCTTCCGCCGTCACCTTCCCTTCCGCCCGTCACCCTCCCTTCCGCCGTCGCCATCCCTTCCGCCCGTCACCTTCCCTTCCGCCCGTCGCACTCACTTCCGCCGTCGCCCTCCCTTCCGCCGTCACCTTCCCTTCCGCCGTCGCCATCCCTTCCGCCCGTTGCCCCCTTTGTCTCGTCGCGCTCCCTGCTGCTCATCGCCCTCCCTTCGGCTCGTCCCCTCGCAATCCCCGTATCTCTCTCCCCTCGTCGCCCTGGCATTCCCGTCACTGCTTCCCCCGTGTCCCTTCTCTGCTTCCCCCCATGTCCCCGTCCCTGCTTCCCCCCACGCCCTTCCATGCTTCCCCCCATCCCCTTCCCTGCGTCCCCATGTCCCTTCCCCTGCTTCCCCCCATCCCCTTCCCTGCTTCCCCGTGTCCCATTCCCTGCTTCACCCCATCCCCATTCCAGGTTCCCCCCAGCCCCTTCCCTGCTTTCCCCCATCCCCCTCTGTGCTTCCCCATGTCCCTTTCCCTAATTCCCCCCATCCCCTTCCCTTCTTCCCCCCATCCACTTCCGTTTTATTCCCCCACCCCCTTCCCTGCTTCCCCATGTCCCTTTCGCTGATTCCTTCATCCCCTTCCCTTCTCCCCCCATCCCCTTCCCTTATATTCCCCCAAGTCCCCTTCCCTGCTCCCCATGTCCCCTTCCCTGCTTCCCCATGTCCCTTTATCCCCTTCCCTTCTTCCCCCCATCCCCTTCCCTTATATTCCCCCATCCCCTTCCCTGCTTCCCCATGTCCCCTTCCCTGCTTCCCCACGTCCCTTTCCCTGATTCCCCCATCCCCTTCCTTTCTTCCCCCCATCCCCTTCCCTCATATTCCCCCATCCCCTTCCCTGCTTCCCCATGTCCCCTTCCCTGCTTCCCCATGTCCCCTTCCCTGCTTCCCCATGTCCCTAGAGCTGATTCCCCCATCCCCTTCCCTTCTCCCCCCATCCCCTTCCCTTACATTCCCCCATGTCCCCTTCCCTGCTTTCCCCCACGCCCTTCCATGCTTCCCCCCATCCCCTTCCCTGCTTCCCCCCATGTCCCCGTCCCTGCTTCCCCCCACGCCCTTCCATGCTTCCCCCCATCCCCTTCCCTGCGTCCCCATGTCCCTTTCCCTGCTTCCCCCCATCCCCTTCCCTGCTTCCCCGTGTCCCATTCCCTGCTTCACCCCATCCCCATTCCAGGTTCCCCCCAGCCCCTTCCCTGCTTTCCCCCATCCTTCTCTGTGCTTCCCCATGTCCCTTTCCCTGATTCCCCCAATCCCCATCCCTTCTTTCCCCCCATCCCCTTCCGTTTTATTCCCCCTTCCCCTTCCCTGCTTCCCCATGTCCCCTTCCCTGCTTCCCGATGTCCCCTTCCCTGCTTCCCCATGTCCCTTTCGCTGATTCCTTCATCCCCTTCCCTTCTCCGCCCATCCCCTTCCCTTATATTCCCCCATGTCCCCTTCCCTGCTTCCCCATGTCCCCTTCCCTGCTTCAACATGTCCTTTTCGCTGATTCCCCCCATCCCCTTCCCTTCTTACCCCCATCCCCTTCCCTTCTTCCCCCCATCCCCTTCCCTTATATTCCCCCATCCCCTTCCCTGCTTCCCCATGTCCCCTTCCCTGCTTCCCCATGTCCCCTTCCCTGCTTCCCCCTTCCCTTTCCCTGATTCCCCCCATCCCCTTCCCTTCTTCCCCCCATCCCCTTCCCTCATATTCCCCCATCCCCTTCCCTCATATATCCCCCTGTCCCCTTCCCTGCTTCCCCATGTCCCTTTCCCTGATTCCCCCCATCCCCTTCCCTTCTTCCCCCCATCCCCTTCCCTTCTTCCCCCCATCCCCTTCCCTCATATTCCCCCATCCCCTGCCCTGCTTCCCCATGTCCCCTTCCCTGCTTCCCCATGTCCCCTTCCCTGCTTCCCCATGTCCCCTTCCCTGCTTCCCCATGTCCTTCCCCTTCCCTTATATTCCCCCATGTCCCCTTCCCTGCTTCCCCCACGCCCTTCCATGCTTCCCCCCATCCCCTTCCCTGCGTCCCCATGTCCCTTTCCCTGCTTCCCCCCATTCCCCTTCCCTGCTTCCCCATGTCCCTTTCCCTGATTCCCCCCATCCCCTTCCCTTCTTCCCCCCATCCCCTTCCCTCATATTCCCCCATCGCCTGCCCTGCTTCCCCATGTCCCCTTCCCTGCTTCCACATGTCCGTTTCGCTGTTCCCCCTCATCCCCTTCCCCTCTTCCCCCCATCCCCTTCCCTTATATTCCCCCATCCCCTTCCCTGCTTCCCCATGTCCCCTTCCCTGCTTCCCCACGTCCCTTTCCCTGATTCCCCCATCCCCTTCCCTTCTTCCCCCCATCCCCTTCCCTCATATTCCCCCATCCCCTTCCCTCATATTCCCCCTGTCCCCTTCCCTGCTTCCCCCTTCCCTTTCCCTGATTCCCCCCATCCCCTTCCCTTCTTCCCCCCATGGGTTTCCCTCATAGGCCCCCATGTCCCCTACCCTGCTTTCCCCCATCGCCCTCTGTGCTTCCCCATGTCCCTTTCGCTGCTCCCCCTCATCCCCTGCACCTGCTTCCCCCCATCCCCTTCCCTCATATTCCCCCATCCCCTTCCCTGCTTCCCCATGTCCCCTTCCCTGCTTCCCCATGTCCCTTTCCCTGATTCCCCCCATCCCCTTCGCTTCCTCCCCCTATCCCCTTCCCTTATATTCCCCATCCCCTTCCCTGCTTCCCTTGGTCCCCTTCCCTGCTTCCCCATGTCCCTTTCCCTGCTTCCCTTCCACCGTCATTGTCGCCATCCCTCCCTTCTCCCTTCCCAACTCGCACAATTGTCACGCCCACTCACTCCCTTGTTCTCCCACGCCCCACTCTCCCGCCCCTCAGCTGCTGGGAAAGCAAATCTACGACCGGATCCGCCCCGAGGCGAACCCCTCCGCGCACCGCCACGCCTGTCACGAAGCAGCAGCAGCCCACAGCACACTTCGGCAGGTTATGCGAGATAGGGCGCGCAGCTGGCAGAGCTGCGGGGCAGCCTCTTCTCGAGACTGCCTTCAGCCTCCCCTGCTTACACATACCATATGCTGACCTGCGCCCGATAAAGCCCTGCATTTGCTGTTGCCGCCCTCCCTGTGTGTAAGGAGGGATTGGCAGCTGCAACGCGCGACAGCCAGCACTGTGCAGGCAACTGTGTTGACTCTGGATCATGGGCCAAAGGCATTTGAATCGAGTAGACCTGTGTGTTGTGCTCAGTTCGAAGTGGCATGGTAGGAAGGCGCATGAAGGCAAGCACAAAGTGGAGAGGCCGCGGCATGATATTGAGATTGGCAGCGGGGATTGACTTGTGTGTCGTGCTTTGTTTGGTGCCAATGGTTTATATGCTGAAACGGGTTTACCTGTTGATGATACTGTGTACTGTTTATGCATCTCTCAATTTTGACACCTGCTCCAACGCGGAAAAATGCATCAAGTGAGCTTGTGCCTAGCTGTGATATTCCCTACCAAAAATAGCACAACATAGCCAATGTCAATCATACTAGAATCCAAAAACGGGTTCTCGGTATAAAGGTGTGTCATACATGGTGAACACGCGGTGTGCCAAAGATTGTTTATGTCGGTACGTAGCACTTCAAATCCGTAAAGCACACTTGCCGTTGTAGAGCCGGACACATCATAGTCGGTCGCTTTGATTGACCTGCAGGTTCACCAAGCATGACGCCCCCTTGTAAAAACGACTTGCTGTTGCCTATAAACTAAAGCCGATTTCCCCAAGATACATGCGGAGATTTATGCGGAGCTTCACTCCAGACGGTCGAGCTGAATGTCTCTAGGTAAACCCAGCCGAAAGGAATGGCCAAGAGTGGCGGCATCGGGCACATGAAAGGATGGGTAGATGGGATATTTCGAGGGGCTCTCCTTGATGGAGCTTTGCAATGGCTGATCTGCGAACAGGGGAGGGGGGGGATGGGGGGGTTGTGGGGGGAGTGGGGTGGGGGCCAGAGGAGAATAGAATACGGATAAGGGAGCTGAGTAGGGAAGCGGATGGGGGGAAGCAGGGAAGAGGATGGGGGGAAGCATGTAAAGGGATGGGGGGAAGAAGGGAAGGGGATGGGGGAAAGCAGGGAAGGGGATGGGGGGAACCAGGAATGGGAATGGGTGAAGCAGGGAAGGGGACACGGGGAAGCAGGGAAGGGGATGGGAGGAAGCAGGGAAGGGGATGGGAGGAAGCAGGGAAGGGGATGGGGGGAAGCAGGGAAGGGGATGGGGGGAAGCAGGGAAGGGGATGGGGGGAAGCAGGGAAGGGGACATGGGGAAGCAGGGAAGGGGATGGGGGAAAGTAGGGAATGGGATGGGGGGAAGCAGGGAAGAGGATGGGGGGAAGCATGTAAAGGGATGGGGGGAAGAAGGGAAGGGGATGGGGGAAAGCAGGGAGGGGATGGGGGGAACCAGGAATGGGAATGGGTGAAGCAGGGAAGGGGACACGGGGAAGCAGGGAAGGGGATGGGAGGAAGCAGGGAAGGGGATGGGGGGAAGCAGGGAAGGGGATGGGGGGAAGCAGGGAAGGGGATGGGGGGAAGCAGGGAAGGGGATGGGGGGAAGCAGGGAAGGGGACATGGGGAAGCAGGGAAGGGGATGGGGGAAAGTAGGGAATGGGATGGGGGGAAGCAGGGAAAGGGACACAGGGAAGCAGGGAAGGGGATGGGGGGAAGCAGGGAAGGGGATGGGGGGAAGCATGTAAAGGGATGGGGGGAGAAAGGGAAGGGGATGGGGGGGAGCAGGGAAGAGGATGGGGGGAAGCATGTAAAGGGATGGGGGGAAGAAGGGAAGGGGATGGGGGAAAGCAGGGAAAGGGACACGGGGAAGCAAGGAAGGGGGCATGGGAAGCAGGGAAGCGGATGGGGGGAAGCAGGGAAGAGGATGGGCGGAAGCATGTAAAGGGATGGGGGGAAGAAGGGAAGGGGATGGGGGGAACCAGGAATGGGGATGGGGGGAAGCAGGGAAGGGGACACGGCGAAGCAGGGAAGGGGACACAGCGAAGCAGGGAATGGGATGGGAGGAAGCAGGGAAGGGGATGGGGGGAAGCAGGGAAGGGGACATGGGGAAGCAGGGAAGGGGATGAGGGGAAGCAGGGAAGGGGAAATGGGGAAGCAGGGAAGGGGATGGGGGGAAGCAGGGAAGGGGATGGGGGGAAGCAGGGAAGGGGATGGGGGGAAGCAGGGAAGGGGATGGGGGGAAGCAGGGAAGGGGAAGGGGGAAGCAGGGAAGGGGACATGGGGAAGCAGGGAAGGGGATGGGGGGAAGCAGGGAAGGGGATGGGGGGAAGCATGTAAAGGGATGGGGGGAGAAAGGGAAGGGGATGGGGGAGAAAGGGAAGGGGATGGGGGGAAGCAGGGAAGGGGATGGGGGGACACGGGGAAGCCAGGAAGGGGACATGGGGAAGCATGTGCTGCGGATGGCTCAATGAAAACTGACCTGCACGTAGGCGATGGTGCGATGTGCCCTTCTTCCTGTGGCAGCCTACTCGACCGATGATGCTCAAGTTTTGTGCCACGGCTGTAGCTTCAAGTGCGGAATGGCATGCAACCCCGTTCTGCAGCTGCACAAAGGCAACCAGAGCCAATTACCGCAATGCATGAGGCACGTGACATTCATGCACGACACCGAGCCAATATGCGACTGCAACAGCATTGAAGAGCTGAAAGTAGATGATGTTACAGAGAGGAGCGGACGAAAACTCACCTGCCAGTGCAGTGTGATTTGAATTCGAGATGAACACAGCTTCAGCGACCAACGCAGTGCACAGGCGGAGGCAACTAGTCCTGCAGGTAGCTGGAAACCAGACAGGGACGGCAGATACGTGAGTTGCAAGGCCAGTGCGTCATCAGCAGCTATGACGTTTGTGCTTGAGGCACCAGAGAGAGACTACCCTGGGTGACTATAAACTGTGTGGCAAAAGCAGCAAAGCCCGAGTTCTGCTATGCTTGCGGCACTTGGAACGTGCCTGTTCACATGCCTGAGAGTAACGTCCGTGATGCGGAATAAGTGACTGGAGGCGAATTGACTTCAAATTACTGTGTCCGCAGGCAGACATCACCTGCGGCGTGGGAGGCGGTTGCTGTAGCAGATGCACACACTCATCTAGAACTTGCTGCGTCGACTTCCGATGTGACGTTCGCTTAGTTGACTGTTTCGGATGTTCCATGCGTATGTTGCTGTAGATACGCCAGTAGTAGGTTCTTTGCACTTGTGTAAGCCCGCTGTAGAACGTGCGGTGCTGTGAATCGCGAGGCTGCTTCCACTCGGACCCCTTTTGCACGTTTTTCTTCCCTGCGGCGCGTGCAATTCATGCTAAACCGTGTCGCTTTCGCCATACGTAGTCAAAGAGTTGGCTTACCGAGTATTAGTAGCGCGGCTCGGTGGATGTAAACCGTACCCTACTCTTCCACCGGGCGATTTCTCGGTTTTCTCCCTCCCTTGCGCCGTCTTGTTCGCCTCCTCCCACGCCTGTCGATGACGATTCTTTGACGGAGCTCAAGTTAGTACCTAGAATCTAATGTCCATGGGCGCTTGATGCTCTCGTCGTCCTGTGTTTGTCCCACCGATTTGGTTGCAAGGGCCCTGCGGGTCCGTGCCTATTTGCGGTCGCGTTACTCAGCCCTTCGATCCACTTCTGATGTTTCCTCTCTTCTCTCTGAACATCTTTTCCTAAACATGGTGCTCGCCATCTCGTAGCGACGGACACTTCTCAACTCGCTTGTCCGTGGTGTCGCTATCGACAGGCATATGTTGTGATCTCCTGCGATGCATCGTAAACGGCATGCGCGACGCGCTTTTTTGCCGCTTCCGCCTGTCTCTTACTACGCACGGTAGGTAGTCGTGCGTCTCGTGAGAGTTGTCGAGCTGAGATTCTCGTGGCATGCAATTCATGGTTGGTGGTGCGTTTTTCTTCTACCTACCCTTCGGCCGACTGCATTGACGCCAAAACCGACCTGTATCTCCCTGTTTTCATGTTTTCCCCACCCTGGTTGGTTGTGTTGCTATGTTCTTTTGCACGTTCGTCACGTCCGCACCCTGATTGGTTGCACTCTTTGGCACCTGACGGGTCGCCCTGGTTGTCGCCCCTATCGTCAGCCTTCTGGGCCACACTTCGTGTGGCGAACATGTGTGATGCTTCGCCAGGGTAGTCTCAACGAATGAAGTTCTCGCTACTCTGTTCTGCAGTGTTTAAAGCCCTAAATCTGAAAACCACTTTGCCATGCTGACCTCGGGCTTTAAATAAATTAAAAGTAAATGAATTAGCTGCGCGCAGTCAGAAAAGTAAATTAAATAAATACATAAACTGCAATGGGCAAACTTGATAAGGAATAGGAGGCCCTGAAAAACTAGGGAAATCCCTAGAATTCTTATTAATAGCTCTATCAATAGTTGTAATATTATTCTTATTGTTATTATTCTTATTCTACATCTCCATTGACATTGGATTATGCTCCCACATGCATATTTGTCAGCTTGGTACTTTTACAGAAACCCGGCCTGGATTAGGTTGAACAATAACAACATGATACCGTAGTATACAAAGGAGGTGCGGGTCGACGGTCGCACCGCCAGACACATTGCGCAGATGCCAGGTAGAACATGTGTCGACGATTTCGCTACCCGTGCGCCATAGAGCAAGTGATGATGTTTCGCATGTCAGCTTTTCTAAGACCTCCTGGGCGACTTTCGCTCAGAAGCCGGGTATTGCAGTCGAGATACTTTCATCGCCCAGCTCGACGCTGCTTGGTCGAACAGCGTTCGCAGAGACCAGCACGTCGAGAAGAGCACGTCGAGCAGTGTCCATCAAAGGGCCTCGTCTGTCAGAATCCCAACCACTAACCATTGGGATAAAAGGGCTTGTTTATATAGCGGGTGAGTGCGCCCATAACCCCCCAGGCCAACGTGCCTGTAACCCTTCCCTAGGATCATCGGGGATCACCAGTGGACCTCTGACACCCCCCCGCACTGGGATGCCCGAGGTGCACACACCGGGATTCGAACCCGAGACCTTCGCTCTGATACCATGTCAGAATCCCAACCACTAACCATTGGGATAAAAGGGCTTGTTTATATAGCGGGTGAGTGCGCCCATAACCCCCCAGGCCAACGTGCCTGTAACCCTTCCCTAGGATCATCGGGGATCACCAGTGGACCTCTGACATCGTCAACCGCTATTTTGCACTAGCAATGTCCGTCGACGTCGACCAGATTCCGTCGAGCAGAGCCTGCACTAGGAATCCAGTCGTCGACTAGATCCCGTCGTCGACCAGATCGCGTGATGCACTAGCAATCTCATATGCGTTAGAGCGCACCAATGTCGAAATAAATGTTGCGTTGTTACGAGGTGTTGTTGAAGAGAGAATACATAAAGTACCGACCTTTTCAGGTATACGAAATTTGAAAGCTGGAGCTTGTTAAATAAAATGATTTTTTTTCAAATGTTTCTTACATTAAAAAAAATCTGACAATAACATTGCATATGTCGATTGTCCGCGATCAAGACGTGTATTAACGTATTGTAAAACTAGAGCATTGTTGATTAGTTATGTGATTGTGAGTCTTGATGCCACAAAGAGAAATGGAACGGGGTGCAGTCGACGGTAGATATGCTTGGTCGAGTGTTATGTGTCAGAATATTATGCTCAAGCCTGTAGTGGGGTCTCTATAGCGAGTACAACCCTTCTAGGGTTTGCTATTTGTATCTGTCAAACATTGCATGTTTATATTGTCTAGGCTGTAGTGGGTTACACCTTAGGGGGTACACAAAGTTAGGGTTTACTACTTGTACCAAACTCTGTTCTAGTTTATTCATTCCTGCTCAGTTATTTCTGACATGGTTTCAGAGCAGGTCCTTCGCTAGGACTGTTCTTAGGGCCCACCGACTTACCTACCTGCTTACCTTCGCTTGTTTCCGGCCCCGCTGGCCCCGTCGATCTAGCAAGATCTAGCGGCCCTGCGGCCCCGTCGAAATTTTTTTTTAGCGGCCTCTCACGGCCCCCGTCGCGTCGCCCCTTAGCGCCCCGATCGGCCCCGTCACGCCGCCCGCGAACCGCACAGCGCGCCGCGCTCACAGCCCGCGAACCGCCCGCGCACAGCCCGCGACCCGCCTGCGCAGCCCGCGACCAGCCCGCGCAGCCCGCGCACAGCCCGCGAACTGCCCGCGAGCAGCCCGCGACCTGCCCGCGAACCCCCGCGAGCCGCCCGCGACCCGCTTACGCAGCCCGCGAGCAGCCCGCGCTGAGCCTGCGCGGCTCGTGCGCTGACCGCCGCCGGCCCGCACGCTGCCCGCACTGCTCCCGGCCCGCCGCTGCTGAGCCCGCAGCCGCCCGCGCACCGCCGCTGCTGAGCCCGCCACCGCCCGCGCACCGCCGCTGCTGAGCTCGCCGCCGCCCGCGCACCGCCGCTGCTGCGCCCGCTGCCGCCCGCGTATCACCGCTGCTGAGCCCGCCCCTGCTGCGCCGGCTCTCGCTGCCGCCTGCTGCGCCTGTGCACCACTGCAGATCCTACTACTACACTTCCTGCTACTGCTGCTTGTGCGCCACTACAGTCTGTAGGCCCCACCGGCCCTGCTGACCCTGCGCACGCCTGTTCAGTGACTTTACTGCTTCTACTACTGCCGCTGTCGCTATGGCTAGTCCTCCTGTTCTAGCTTTCGACGCCGAGGGCCGTCCGGTCAAATTCGAAACCTGGCTAGATGATCTGCACCTTTTCCTACAGCTCACTGCCAAGGAAGATATTACACTGTACGACCACGCTCTCGGCCATGCGACCGCCCCACTCGCTACTGCCCCCCCAACTGAGCGCTCACAGTGGCAGACCCGTGACGCGCACGCTCGCTTTGCTATTCGCAACTCCCTGCTGCTAGATGAGCGCGAGCACTTCGGCCAGTGCAAGACTGCTAAGGACCTCTACACAGCTGTAGTGGCCCGCTACTCCTCACCCGCTTCTGCCACACTAGGCCGCCTCACTCTCCCCTACCTGTTCCCCGACCTAGCCTCTTTTCACACTGTCGCAGACCTCATCACCCACCTTAAGACTAGTGAGGCTCGCTTTCGCGCTGCCATGCCTGATGAGTTCCTCGCTAGCAACCCCCCCCCGCTCTGGATCACTCTCTACCACGTTGTCACCCGCCTCCCTGACTCTCTGCGCCCTGTCAGGGACCAGTTCCTCTCTCGCTCCCCCACTGAGCTCACCATAGCCCTCCTCGAGAAGGAACTGCTTGCAGCCGAGGCTAGTATCGTCGCTGTAGGCACCTCTCGTGGCGACCCCCGCGGCCCCTTCTTCGAGGGGTGCTCCCCTTCCCCCCTCCTCCCCTCTGTCGCCTCTGCTGCTGCTGTCGACCTCCTTGGTGCTGAGAAGGTCGGGGCTGCGTCTGCTTCAGGCGGACGACGCAGGGGCAGGAGTGGCAGGAGTGGGGGTGGTGGCGGAGGAGGCGGGGGTGGAGGTGGTGGCGGTGGAGGTGCGACTGGAGAGGCTAGTGGCGGCGGTGGTGGAGGTGACAGCGGTGTTGGGAGTGGTGACAGGGGCGGAGGTGGCAGCGGAGGCGGAGGTGGTCGTGGCAGCGGCAGGGGTGGAGGTGGCCGGGGCGGAGGCGGAGGGGTTGGTGGTCGTGGAGGCCCGGCGGGCGGTCAGAGTCAGCAGCCTGCCCCGACCCTTCAGGCCGCCCGTGAGTGGTATGCGCGGCGCAGCGTCACCTGCCAGTACGTTATTCGTACAGGTGACCGCACTGGCCAGACGTGTGGGGGGCCGCACCAGACGGAGCGCTGCTTCGCCCGCCTCAACGATGCGTGGCG